ACCGCATCCCAAAACCAGTCCAGCTCGTCCCCGCCTCCGTAACCTGTTCTTCCTCCCACCTATCCCCTCCTCCCACCTCAAGCTGCACCCCCATCTCCTTCCAACTAACCTCATCCCGCCCCCTTGACCTGTCCGTCCTCCCTGGACTGACCTATCCCCTCCCTAACTCCCCACCTACACTCACCTTTACTGGCTCCATCCCCGCCTCTCCGACCTGTCTGGTTCCTCTCCACCTATCCTCTCCTCTATCCATCTTCTATCCACCTCCCCCTCTCTCCCTATTTATTTCAGAACCCCCTTCCCCTCCCCCATTTCTGATGAAGGGTCTAGGCCCGAAACGTCAGCCTTTCTGCTCCTATGATGCTGCTTGGCCTGTGTTCATCCAGCTCTACACCTTGTTGTCTCGGATTCTCCAGCATCTGCAGTTCCTACTATCTCTAACATCGGTAGAACCCTGCATTGTCCCTGTATGGCAGACAACTTGAGATGTAAAGAGAAACCTGCTATGTTGGGCTCCACCTAGTGGCCTGCTGAGGAGTAGAAAAGAGGTGCATGGTAGAGGAAAGAAATATATAAATCTTAATAAATATGCACAACAATAACACTGAGAAGAACCCAAAATTGGTGGCTTGCCAGAGATAAACCTGCATGAGATAATATGTAAATACAGAGGAATCAAAAAGGATTGCACAGCAACATCTTAGATTTATAGAGCACCGTCAAAGTAATGAAACATTCAAAGAACGATGTGCAGGAGCATAACGCTGAGCCATGAAAAGAGGTATCAGGCAAGATCTTCAAAAAGCTTGGCCAAAAAGGTAGATTTTAAGGAATGCTGTAAAGGAGAAAACAAGGGAGATGGTAGAGATGGAGTTTCGGAGCTGGGGATCCACACTACTGAAAGCACGTCCACCATTGGCTGAGTAATATTAATTGGGGGTGCACATAAAGGTTGAGAGAGCTATGGCTTTTCTCTTTAGAATGACGAAGGATGAGAGGTGACTTGATAGGGGTGTACAAAATGATCAGAGGTGTAGATAGAGTGGACAGCCAGAGACTTTTTCCTAGGGTGGAGGTAGCTATTACGAGGGGGCACAGTTTTAAAGTGAGTGGAGGTAGATATAGGGGAAACGTCAGAGGTAGGTTCTTTACTCAGAGAGTGGTCGGGGCATGGAATGCATTGCTGGAGAGGGTAGTGGAGTCGGCCGCATTAGGAGCATTTAAGTGGCTATTAGGTAGGCAAATGGTTGATAGTCCAAGGTAGGGATGGAGGTTAGATAGACCTTAGCTTTAGGGTAAAAGTTCGACATAACATTATGGGCTGAAGGGCCTGTACCGTGCTGTACTGTTCTACGTTCTATAAAGCCAGATTTAGCAGAGTGCAGGTTTCTCAGAGGGTCACTGGGTTGGCGGAGATAACAGAGATGGACAGAGATGAGGCTGTAAAGGGATTTGAAAACAACAGTGAGAATTTTAAACTAGAGGTGCTGCTAATCAAGGAAACCATGTGAGTTCAGTTGTTTGAGCACTCGGTGCATTGAGAAACATTCAGTCTTGTTCAGGTTTAATGTTGGCGCAGAAACACAACCACAGCAGTCAGACCATCCAGTACTTGCTGGTGACAGGACTAATCTGCGACATTCATTTTAAAAGCAGGCCACTTCCATGTTCAAACCATGTATTGGGTTGCGTTGCTTGACCTGCTGACTGGAAAGCTGATAAGTGTTATTGCCTGTATCTGTTTCTCCAGCTGTTGTGCAGCACAGAAGCATCTTTGTTCAGCTAACAGTAATACGAAAGGAGTGTTGTTGACAATTACCCACACCTCAGTGTCACATTCAATGATTGTAGCCTACGGCATACAATAACAATATCTTGCTTGTACAAGGAACTTCCCTGGCCTTGTCTCGGTCGGTAGATCTCTTGCCTTTGGAGTCAGAAGGCTCACACAGATTCAATTCCAGACACCTGCATGCAAAACCCAATTCAGAGGAAGAGACTTTGGACTCGAAATATTAACTCTGATTCCCTCTCCACAGATGCTGCCAGACCTGCTGAGTTTCTTGGTGGACTGTATATAAAGTCTGCCTTTCATGCCTACTCCATTCTGATTCCATGTGGCACCGTATTAGTGGTCACTTCAATCAGCTGGGCAGGACATTTTTCTTCCATTGTACAACTGAAGTTGAATAAAGCACAATTCCATTTCTATTTATAGAGTTTCCTCTTCAATAATTAATGTGTGAATAATTCTTAGGAGACATAGCAGGGCAAGATGCAGGACAAAGACTGCCCCTTGCCAAAACTCAGCTTAGCACACTTCTGGGAGGTTTTGTGGAAAAGCAAGTGGTCTCATGGATCATGGTAGCAGAACACTGATGAGCAAAACTCAGCAAAGGTTTCTTCGGCACCAAACCTATGACCTCTTCTGCCAGAACGACAAAGCCAGCAGATGCTTTGAGGACCAGCACCTGTAAGTTCCCTCCAAGACATCCTGACTCGGAACTATACAAGGGGTGACATGGTGGCTCAGTGATTAGCACTCCTGCCTCACAGCGCCAGGGACCCAGGTTCGATTCCAACCTCAGGCAACCGTCTGTGTGGAGTTTGCACGTTCTCCCTGTGTCTGCGTGGGTTTCCTCTGGGTGCTCTGGTTTCCTCCCACAGTCCAAAGATGTGCAGGTTTGGCAGATTGAGTGTCCAGGGATGTGCAGGTTGGGTGAGTTAGCCATGACAAATGTGGGGTTACAAGGTGGGGCTGGGTGGGATGCTCTTCAGAGGGACAGTGCAGACCCGATGAGCTGAATGGCCTCTTTCCGCATTGTAGGAATTCTATGACTTCTATACTGCTGTCACCAGGTCAAAGTCTTTGAACTCTATTCTTGAGGGCATTGTGGGATTACCTACACCACAAGGACTGCAGTGATTCAAGAAGGCAGCTCACCACCAGCTCTCAAAGGCAAATAGAAATGGGCAATAAATGCTGACCCAACCTGTGACACCCACATCCCATGAAGAAATAATGTCAAAAAAGGCAATTTTACACTCAGTGTCGTGCCAGGCTGTTATCAGTTAAGGGGAATCTCTCTAATTAGCATGTTGTTAGTGCATGGAATGCCTTACCACAGGGTGGAGATGAGGGAGAAGCTCCTTTTTAGGGAGAATGGGTAAGCATGTATAATACAGAGGCACAAGAGGATTCATTAAAAAACTGGCAGAGACAACTACCTCATACTCTTTTTAAGATAAACCAGTAAATGATTTGCACCATCCCTAGTGAGGCTGGTATCAAAATTGATCAAAAGATTAACCAAAGCTTACTAAAAAGCAGTGGAAAATCAACAACCTTAAATTAAAATGTTATGGGGGGGGGGTCGTTGGTGCATCCCAGATACCACCCCCAGCCCCACCATCACAAAAGGCCTGGACTATGCCCTTACAGCCTCCCTCTCGATTGAGAGCACATGGGTAGCTGTGGAAGAGGGGCAGACAGTTGGACACTAGGACCCCATCCACAGCCCTGAACCTGGTAATGGTTAGATCTTTGGTCTTCTGAGCTGCCTGCATTCTCAGCCTGCAATGCCCATGACCACCTCCTTCTCTGCTGCTCAGCGCTGACTCACAGAAACAGAAATTGCTGGAGAAACTCAACTGGTCTGGCAGCATCTGTGTTGAGAAATCAGAGTTCCAGACACCTGCACGCAAAATCCGATTCAGAGGAAGAGATTTTGGAACTCGAAATGTTAACTCTGATTCCCTCTCCACAGATGCTGCCAGACCTGCTGAGTTTCTTGGTGGACTGTATATAAAGTCTGCCTTTCATGCCTACTTCGTTCTGATTCCATGTGGCACCAAGTTCTGATTTCTGAAACTGGAGTTCTGATGTTTTTATTTGATGGACTACTAAACGTGTGGCAAAGTTCTGTTTTCTCGAAACAAACTTTTAATTCCATATTTTTATTGGATTCAAATTTCACCATCCGCCGCTGTGAGATTCAAACCCATCGGGGGCCAGCAGCCTAAGGTGGCTGGCAGTGAGAGTGAGAGCAGGTAGCCTCAGGGACCTATGGTGACAGTAGGAGCAGACAACCTGAGGTGGCAATGAGGGTGAAGTCAAGCCTTGTGAGGAATACGAGCCCCAGGGCTGTGATGTTGAACTATTAACTGTGTTTCTTTGTTTTTTTCTACGCTTTAGTAAGGACTGTAATGTTTAATTCATGGCTTGCTTTCTTTGTTTTCCTGCTTTGTACTAAGATTCGGTGCCTAGGTACATTTGTACCTAAGACAGCACCGTAATTAGCAGCTTGTGAACGTTTCAGTGTACTCATGCGAGTGAGTACACGTGACAATAAAAGATCATTCTAATTCTTTTCCCAGAATATTGATCTGGGGTTCTGTTGAGTGTAACCACCACCTCCCTGAAAAACGCTTGAGGCACTGCCTGAGAGATGTGGAGATTTCTGGATCTTTCAGGTTTGCAGCTCGTGACCAGGAGGGCTGCTGCAGAGGCCATTCCCATTCTCTGACCAATTGAGTTAGTGAACATTATCTCTTATCCACATGGGATCCTCCTGGGCTGGTTTCCCTGTATGCTCTGTATCTAGGTTACCCAATATAGAAATACGGTAAATGAGGGGGAGGGAAAAGGGAGTAGCCGATTTGGTTCATCACTCTTTAGCCAAGATTAAGCTATAAAATGAGTGCCAACTCCTCTAATACCATTTTACTGCTCTTTCGACACATATTGGTAGTGTATTGATTGTGTTACTGCATTAGTTATCCAGAGGTTCGGGACTAATAATGTATGGAGTATAAGCTTAAAATGAGAGGAAATCGAGAATTCGAGTTCATTTGTTAAAATATTTAGTAAAAATGATCTAACGACTGCCTCAGTCTGGTCAAACTATACTGGGTGAATGACTGATGGGAAACCTTGCCAGTTACATTCACAATTCGAGAATACAAAACACTGTGTTAATACTAGGATTACATTTGGGAACAATAATTTTAAAATTCGGAGGTCACTGTTTGTTTGTGACATTGAAAAGAAATGTCAGTCCCAAGGGCAAAACAACTGTGTGGAAACGTTAACTCTGTTTCTCCCTCGACACCTGCTGAGTTTGTTCAGCACTTCCTGCTTTTATTTCAGATTTCCAGCATCTGCAGTATTTTGCTCCTTTTATGAATTGTGAGGATTATCCACGTCAGATCTGCTGAAAGGAAACTCAGTAAATACAAATGTAAGTTAATTGTTTCAAGATGACCTTTCCATCTGTTGTAAATGCAAATGATAATATCTTTCACAGTAATCAGTCAACCATCAAGGTATGGAATCAATCTAATGGGTTTTAATCAGAGAGGGGATGCTAGGCTACACAATCCTGTACCTTGTGCTCATATACCACACCCAGTCAATATACTCACCTTTACATATCCTGTCACAACTTAGGAATGTACAGTAAGTGAAAAAGGCTTTAATTACCACTGATTCAAAGATTCCAAAGTGAGTGAAAAATTTTGACTTTGTTTCGGTGTTTTCTGGATTGCAAGTACAAGTCCAAAATCAGGATTAGCTCGAGGCTGTGGATTGCATAATCTTGGCTCGAGGTGAGTGGAAATGTACAACCTCCCAGGTAATGTAATTATGCTGGTGTGGCTGCCGAACAATTGTTCCTTGTGACTAGCACCTCTCAGTTAGGTATTTCATTACTGTCTTAGGAGTCTCATGACCAAAACCATCCAGCTGGGATGAGAACAACAGGACTCTCTCTCTCACTGTAAAAGAAAAGACCTGCACTTTGAGCAGCATCTCCTCTAGTTAAATGGTTAGAACCGATTTATATGTGAACAGCGCTGGTCCTGTAAACTACAGATTGATTTTAAATGCTCTCAGACAGGGTTGGAACAGGCCATCGAGTCTGCGCTGATCCTCCGTAGAGCATCACCCCCATAATCTCCATTTCTCATGGCTAATCCACCCAGCCTGCATATCCTTGGACACTACAGGGCAATTTAACATGGCCGATCCACCTAACTTGCATATCTTTGAACTGTGGGAAGAAACCAGAGCACCTGGAGGAAACACAGACAGATAGGAGGAGAATGAGCAAACTCCACACTGACCGTCACCTGAATGTGGAATTGAACCCAGGATCCTGGTGCTGTGCGGCTGCAGTGCTACCCACTATGCCACTGTGCCTGTCTTAGAATTTGAGCTTTGTGCTTGAAGCCTTCCAGCTAGAATACAGCAGCTGTACACAACTCACAGTCAGTCAATGAGAAGGGCTGCTGAACTGAGATTACATTTGACTCACTGAATTGGCTCAGTGTGTTCACTGACAGTGCCCAACAAACCTGGGCCTGTGCTGTAACTCAGGAAGTTCCAGTGGAACATTCTTGTTTGAGAGAACTGCAATGAATGGACGCTCTTCAGAGATTAAAGGAGCCTCTTTATCCAGCAGAGGCAATGTTTCTGAGCAATGGATTAGCACCAACTGGTGTCATCGCTGGCTCAGTGACAGTACTTTCCTACAGTACTTAAGAATCTGCACCGAGGTACCTTGGTGCCCATGCTGGCATTAGACTTGTAACCTGTACACTGTACTCATGTGACATGTGACAACAAAGTTAATTTGAATTCTAATTCATCATCATTACTGGTGTTGGAGCAGTCAGATTCTGTAGAGATAGTGCCGGAGTTGGGGGAGGTGGTGTCAGAGTAGATGGTTGACATGTGGAACCTTTAGTGCTTCCAACTGTGGCTAAATGTTTCCTGGAATCTTCACATGATTCCCTGCCCCCCATTAGTCACCCAATACATCCATTGTCACTGCAGCCTGCCCTATCGGATAACAAAAAGATACATTATCCAACATTGCTTGACTCGCAACCAAGCTGTATTTTCCCGCCCCATTCTAGGTATTTTTATAAAGAGAAATATCCAAAACAAATGACAAACAAAAGTCAATCTTTTTGAATATCCCAGCTTTTTAAAAAATATCTCTAGGGTTGCACACAGCAGTGTCCTGAAGACTGCTCTTCAATTCCTGGAGATTCCCAGCCAATCCTGAAAACTGTGTTTTCAGGTGAAGTTACCAAGAGGCAGCATATTGATGGGGAATGCAACAGGTGATAGCGTGGGAGCAAGGAGAAAAACCACTGCGGGTGATTATCTAGCTAAGAGTAAATTGATATGAATACGGAACTGGACAAACGTAAAGTTGCCATAGTCCGACTGTACCACAAAGCTGCTCTTTCATTCGAGAGGGATAACCGGTGGTGGTTTAACATCAAAATCAACACATCTCAGCAAGGGGTAAGCGTTAGAAGGAGACTCCTTCACAATAACTGCAACTAATGCAGGAATCGAACCCAAACTGTTGGCACCCTCTGCTTTGCAAACCAGCCATCCAGCCAACTCAGCCCAGTCAAAAGTAAGGAAGCTTGCATAAGCTGCAGTATCACCTTTTTTCCCAACAGAGGGAGCTCCAACAACCAAGCAGCATTGGACTAAAATTTGTTGTTGAAAGTAACGACAAAAATCTCACTTTCTGTTATTTATATGTAAATGGTGCAGCAATCTCAGGAATTACAATTGTGCAAATATTTGAATGTCACTGTCCACACTACATCCTTTTCCAGAAGGAGATCTATTTTCCTGCATCTCTCTCTCTAGGACCCCAGGCTCACCATTGACACATACGGAAAGTCACGAAGATGCTGCATTTATACAGAGATCAAACTAGTCTCACTGGGAATATTTAAGGACAATAATTGGTATTTGTTGTGGTCATATCCATCAAACCCATCTGAAGTCCCTTGGGTAGATTTCCTTCTTATTGATATTAGTCTTAGTTACTTGTCTCTTGGGGGAAAGATGTCCTTACAACGGCTTCAGCAAAAGAGAATCTCAGTGTTGAAGAACAGCTTGTTACATGAGACTCTCTAGTGAGACCTCAGATTAGATTTAAAAGTAAGTGCACATTACTGTTTAGCTACATAGAACTTAGTCCAAGAACAATGAACTGGTTAGCTCCTCCCAGGAACAGTTCTTTATGGATAACTTTTAAAATGAACCTGTTCAGTCATCTGGAACAGGTGGGCTGGGAACCCAGGTTTTTTGGGTCAGAGGTAGAGACACTACCACTGTACCATAAGATCATTAATAGTCCTTTATAGTCTCTTTAACCAACCTGTTTGGACATGTTATGAGAAACCTTGAGCTCAAAAAAACTTTCCATTTTTTAAGGTACTTTTAATCAACCTGACCAGGGATGCTATGATACATCTCTGGAGCAGATGAGACTCAAACCAGAGCCTCCAGACTCAGACGTAGGGATATTACCACTGTTCCACAAGCACCCTCACAAGAGTTCTCTAAAATATTGTTAATCTATCACCTTAATTACTCAGGCCCGATTACCAGCTAGCAATCCTTCATATCCTGATATGCAGAGCTCATCTTGTGAGATCAGTTACCCTCTCAGGTAGTAACTATCTTACACAACAGCAATTAGTTCCCTGTTAAGGATGTGCTAAATGTTAATTACTGCCAATCAACCCTTCTCAGATCAGAAATTAACAATCACAAGTTTGGACATTGGGGACATTGATTACAGAAGATGACAATGAATCTGAATGAGCAAACTTCAAGTCTAAGCTATGACACTATCTCTGACTGCTCACTTGGCAAAAAGGGCAGTTACTGTTTCATCTGCCCCCCTCATCATCTCCCTCTGATGACCCTATGCCCCATCACCATATATGCTGGGTGCACAACACAGTGCTCAAGATTTGGAATGATGCAGAAATCAGATCCCAGCCCTGCATGGTCTGGGAATTAAGATTAATGGTTAATTATTCTTGGTGTAATCTCCATGGCGATGATGACCCAACCAAACAGCACCCTCTTCTCATTCTGTACAAAATGGTGTCTATTTTTTACCAAGTCTGTTCCTTGCATCTTGCTTCCACAGATTGCAAGACATGAAAGCACAGAATACAGTAAATAAGATAGGGGAGTTACAGGTGCAGATTATCATGTGGAAATATGAAGTGGCAGTTACAGAGACTTGACTCAATGAAGAGCGGGACTGGGTTGTTAAATATTCCTGGGTGTAGGCTGTTTAGAAATGGTAGGAAAGACAGGAAAGGGGGAGGGATTGGTGGTAGTGTTGGTTAAGGAGGGTACTGCAGAGCTGAAGAAAGAGGATGTCCCAGAGGGTTCAAAGACAGATTCAATTGGATGGCAGCTAAAGAAAAAGGAAAGGGTTCGGTCTCATTACTTAAAATATTCTACAGAACACCAATGAGTGGGATGGATGAAGAAGAACAAATCTGCAAGGAAATTACAAAGATATGACATTTTCATGGAGTAGCTATAATGGCACACTTTAATTACCCAAATGTAGGCTGGAACAGTGAGAGCATAAACAGGAGCAAACATTCCTAGATTGTTTGAGAATATTTTCTGCAGCAGAGTGTGTCCAGTGTAACAAGAAACGTTGCAGTGTTGGTTGTGGCCAAAGTGGGGAATGCTTAAGAGACAGTGATCATTGTATTATAAGGTTTAGGATGATGATAGAAGAGGGCAGTAAGCAATAGTTAATTGGGGATTGCTGACTTCAACACAACAAGTATGGAGCTGGGCCAGGAGAGTAGAGCAAAATGGTTTTTGTATCTGAACAAAGCGCTGCCTTCAAAAAAAAAAAGGAGACGGTTCAGGTACAGTCAAGATATATTCCTTCAAGAGGGAAAGGAAAAGCAAATAAACCCAGAGTTCCCTGAATACAAAAGGAGACAGAAATTCAAATACAGAAGTAAAAGTGTGCTTATGAAAGGGGTCAGGTAGAAAATATGATCAAGAACAAAGAACACAGAAGGTTCACAGGGGAGTGAAACAGCATATTGGAGAAACAAAAATCGATTATGAGAAAAGACTGGCAGCCAAATTAAAAGGGAATCCCAAGGTTTTTGATTGGCACATCACCAGTGAAAGGTTGGTAAAAGGAGGAATGGGATGAATTAGAGACCAAGAAGGGGACTTACACATGAGGATGGGGACACAGCTGAGGGGTTAAGTGAATACTTTGCTTCTGTCTTTACCAAGGAAGTAGATGCTACCTAAGCCCTGGTGACACAAGAGCAAGCTAGAAGGGTTCAAAATTGGTAAGGAAGAAGTATCAGACAGGCTATCAATAATTTAATTTGA